ACCGGAGAAAAACCAAAAAAAAAAAAAAAAAAAACAATGTTCTGTTCATGGTGCTTAATGCCACAGATTAATTCATATGTATGAATAAACGCTTAAAAATAATTTAATACCCTGACAAGTTAATTGGATAGATCAGTTTTCTATTTTAAAACGACATACAAAGAAGCTGGCTATGGTGGTACACATGTATAATCCCAACGCTCAGGAGGCTGAGGCAGGAGGAGCTTGAGTTTCAGACCAACCGAGGCTACCTGGTTAAATTCAAGGCTAGCTTGGACTACACAGTAAGACCTACCCATCGGGAACCACAAATTCACAATGGCTAACTTTGCATACTTCCCTAAGGAATAAATGGAGGCTTTGGATTATCAGTATCACCCTTTTGAGATTTCCCATTATCTCTTCATGGGTGGGCCATCCTCTCCCACCCACTAAAACTAAGATTAAAAATCCATTAAGACTAAAGACACGGGGGCTGGGGATTTAGCTCAGCAGCTCAGCAGCACAGCGCCTGCCTGGCAAGCGTGACATCGTGAGTTCGATTCCTGGTACCTGGAAAAAAAACAAAAACAACAACAAAAAAAAAGACTAAAGACACTCCAGGGCAAGACTAAAGACACTCCAGGGCAAGGTGGTCTTCTTAGCATAAGACCACCTCTGCCCTCTGTGTCATCTCATAATTCCCTCCTCAGTAAATGCCAAGGTTCTGGCCGCCTCATGCCCTTTTTTCCCTCAAGAACAACTTGTCACCCCAGATCCCTGTGCTGTTTGTCTCTTTTGCTTTCTACCATGCATGGTAACACCTGGCAGAAGATTGGAAGCTCACTGCAAGGGTCCCAATACCCACCTCAAAAAAATTTTTTTTTAATTTTAAAATTTTTAATAACTGACTTTTCCTTATAAAACTGGAAAGTGAATTCTCTTATCCTTTAGGGGCTGGGGGCTCACTTGTAGAATGCTTGCCTAGAATGCAAGAGGCCCAGAGTTTGATCGCCAGTAACACCATCAGTCAATCAATCACCTATAAGGAGAAAAAAAAACCTTCCTGCCTGAGCTCAAACAATGGACCTATTTACAGGCAGTCCAGTGAGTTAGTGGAAAATACCAAACACCCCTGCACATGAGTTATCTGAGGTTAACTCCATGAACAAGGGAGCCGTGTGATGCCTCCAGTTAGGACAGCATCTCAGCAGGCAGTGTGCACGCTCATGGTTTGTGGTCTTCAACTGTCCTGCCAGCCCGGATAACTCTGGGTAGTCAGGAGCCATCTGGTGACAGCATGTAGCCCAGCTCAGCAGAAAGTAACACAAGGAAGTCTGTGGCTCTCACAGATGTACTCCTTGCCAAAACGTCTCTGTTGTTGTGGTTGCTTCGACCCTTCCAGAGCCCTAATCAAACACCCTAACCAGGCACACTTTTCACCAGATAAGCAATGTTTTTAAGTTGGTTCGTGATTCAAAAAGAAAAAGGAAAATGTTCTGTTCATCTAACTTTAATGCCAAGGGAAGCAATTTGGTGACATAATGTATGCTGTTATGGTCACTTGTGTCCTTCTGGTCCGTAACATTCAGCCTGTCTGTATTTATCTTAAAGCCTCTCAGGAAAGCATCAGCCGTATATCTGGCTCACTGTAGGCATGCACTGTCATCTACTTGCACAAAATAATAGTGGGATTTTAAGAGGAAGCTCAACCTCCCAGGGAGAGATTATCTCTCATAGGATCTGGAAATCCCTATCTGGGTAGGTGAAGCGTCAGGCACAAAGGCAAACAGGTCAAAATAAAAAGGGCACTCAGAGCTGGCCAAATGCAATGACAGCTACAATGTGCAGGGTTAGAAAGGGAGAAAAGGTCCCAGGCCTGGAAGCAGGATGGAACCACAGAGGGAGCAGGGCAGTTTGGAGGAGCAAAAGCACCTCTCAGAATGCAACCCCACCACCTTGTTCCTGGAATTTCAGGTGGAACCACCATGTACCCATCTCTCTGCTAGTATCTTAGGCAGAAGGGCAGAAACTCCAAGAGCCATTTCTTAGTGTCTCTCAGATGTATACTCAACAGGACAGATCAAGTCCAGATTCTTCTGGACTGAGCTGTTTACAGGTCTGACGTCTATCACCATGCAGTCACATTCCTCGGTGTGTCTGTGAGAGGACAGTGATCGGGTATCAGCCTAAGGCTGGCAACTGGTAAACAGGGACAGCCTCAACAGAGCAGCTACCACAGATACTGAACAGCACACAGACCTAGCAGCTGCCTGTATGAGGCCAACACAATCCGACAGGCACAGGAAAGCAAGCAATCAAGACCTTAACTCCAGCTCCCTATGCAATCACTATTGCCTGCTCTACCAGTAATACTGCCTGGCAGAATGGTTTCAGGTGACGAGTCCAGGCTTGGAGAGCCCACCCAAGGTATAAGTTAGGAATATAAATCTGCCCAACTTCAGGGCCCCAACAGCTTTCTTGTCACTAGGACTGGTGAGAAGAATCTGCTCCTGTCACAGCCTGTACCTCCTCCGCCTCCGGGATCTTATTCCCACCTGCCCTTCCAGATCAGAGCGATCCTTCCAACAGTGGGTCTCCTCCTCCGCTCCTTATCAACTGAATGCTCAACTTCCGGTTGGTGTTGAGGGTCTCTCGCCTGCTGCCTCTGTCCACTTTTGTAATCTTACCATCCCCAGCTCTCTCCAAAAGGATGAGTTCTGCTTCCTTTCATCCACTTCGTCCTGAAAACCACTATTTCCTATGAAGGCTGTGGTCTGTAGGTAGGTGAGGCTCTCCTCTGCAGATAATAACCAAGGCCCAGACAGCCCACGCTCTGCCTACAAACGGTCAGTTAAACTGGTTATAAAGGTCAGACCCCTGAATGACAGTGAGTCGAAGGGCCCCGCGCTGCAAACCTTCTTGGCTGTTTCAGTGCTAGGCCCTGCATGGAGGATCTCAAAATGCTCATACCTGTACTCTAAGGCCAGTCGGGTCCACTGTTTAATTATAACAGGACCTTCCCTCCGTGAAACCCACAAACTTAGAAAATTCCAGCTCACTTGCATTCTAATACTCCCTCTAGTCTTGCCACCCCTTCTTCCTTGAATGTCCTAAATCCTTAGTGAAGATGCCCCACTGCTGCCTAGCACAGTCCGAGGGTGCCTGAGGTCCCCGCCCCCCGCAAGAGGCAGCCAGAGGGGTAAGGCCTGGCTCGTGCACGGCTGGGCAGTGCTTTTTTAACGAAGAAACCTAACAGGCTCAGAGTTCCGAGAATCCCTTGGTGCGCAAGAGTTTTCAAGAAGTAATCACTACAACCCGCCCCACCGAAGGCAGGCAAGCGGGTAGGCAGGGATTTCCCGCCTGCCCGCATCCTCCCGGGGGACCTCCACGATCTGCACACACAGCCAGGACCCCCCCGCCCCGCCACTGCAAGCGCCGGGAAACCGCGCAGGGGACTCCGCGCCGGAGTTCCCCCCGACCCACTTACACACATACACTGCCCTCAAGCCCCAGCTCCCGGACCTTCGGGCCTGTCATGGAGTCGCCCAGGTCAAAGGGTGCATTCTTTGGGCGGCTCCTCAGTTCCCTCTGGACCCGAGGGCTCAGGGATCAGAGCGCGCTCGGCTGCGGAAGAGACCACCCAGCCCGCAAGGGGCTGGGGCCCAGAAGCCCAGCCCCGGGCGTTGGTTCCAAAAGAAAGGAGCTCCTCCCCCGCCCGCTCCCGAGCTCCGCCTGGCCTCCCGGTCCAGCAGTCCCGAGAGAAGGGAGGCGCCGGAGGAGACGGTCCGGAGCACTTACTTAAGAGCTACACAATTCCACTCCCCATCTCTGCGCTGCGGCGGCACCTAGCCGGCCCTCAGCGGGGACCTCGGTGCCCACCACTCGAGCGCTGCAGCTCAGCATTGCGGCCCACCCGCTTACCGTTTGGGCGGAGCCGAGCTCGGGTCAGCCCAATGAGAGACCGTTCTTATCCAGAGTGACGTGCACGCAGAGCAATCATTGAGTCGGCCCAACCGAGGGTGGGGCTCAGGCGACGCACTTCGCTTCCTACTCATGCTGGACCCGCCCAAAGCCACCGACTGCGCGTGCCCAGAATGGGAGGGGCGGGGCCGAGGGCCGGTCTGACACTAGGGGTGGGGTCCGAGCTCCTAAGATGAAAGGGAGCTGGACGGCGATGGGGAAGGAGAACCCCACCCGGTAACTGCCCGCCCCGCAGATCCCTCTTCCCACTACGGTTTATAGGACAGAAGCGTTCGGCCCTATGAGACGCGCCACTCTGTTGCTGCCATTGTTTCTGGGTTCTAGTCCTCTCATTTTCATGGACTCTGCTCTAGCTAAACCCTCTTTAAGTACCAGGGTCTCAGTTTCCTTATCCGCGAGAGAGGGAAAGGTTGCCAAGTGTGATGGCGCACACCTTTAATCCCAGCACTAAGGGAGGCTGAGGCAGGAGGATCACAAATTCCAGTCCTGCCTGGGCAATTTAGCTACAGCCTGTCTCAAAGTAAAAAAGAGGGCTGGGAGATGTAAAGCCCCGGTATCTGACCCCTCCCAAATAAAGGCAAAGTTGAATCTGCTGAGTGTAACGTTCCAGAACTGTATGGGGTGCAGGGGAGGGAGAGATAGACTCACACGTGACCTCCAAAGCAGGGCCACGCCCACCCCGGGTCCCGGGGGTGGAAGCACCCAGCCAGACAGGCAGGGGTGGGCGGGTCCTTGGAAACCGGCCCGGGCTGCCCTTGGCAGCGGCTAAGGCGGAGCGCACGGCTGCTGGTCCTGGGGTTGGCACCGCAGGAGGATGGGGTCCACAGCCCGGGCTTGGCAGGGAGCCACCGCGGAGGCCAGGGTCGCGCAGAGAGGTGGCGTGTGACCGAAGCGCGTCTGGGAGAATGGGCGAGCCGGTGGGCGCCAGCTAAGGCGACTCCTTCTCCGCGCCAGTCTTCCGAGGCGCGCGTCGCGGATCCCGGGCTGGCTCGGTGGACGGCGGCTGCAACACCGAGCGAGTCTCCAGCCATGCGGAGCGTTGGGGACGCGCAGCCCAACGCTGGCCTCGGCACCGGTGGCGTCCTGCCGCGCTGAGGGCGGAGAGGGGCGCGGGAGCGCACCGCCATGGCCAGGGAGGAAAGCAAGGCTCTGCTGGACGCGCTCAACAAGACGACCGCGTGCTACCACCACTTGGTGCTGACCGTCGGCGGCTCGGCGGACTCGCAAAACCTGCGAGAGGAGCTGCAGAAGACGCGCCAAAAGGCGCTAGAGCTGGCCGTGGCCACCGGCGCCCGGCTGACGGTCGCGCTGCGCGACAAGGGTCTGGCCGCCGAGGAGCGCACAGAGTTCGAGCGCCTTTGGGTGGCTTTTTCCGGCTGTTTGGACCTGCTGCAAGCCGACATGCAGCGTGCATTGGCGCTGGGCGCCGGCTTCCCGCTGCACGCGCCCCGACGGCCGCTGGTGCGCACGGGTGTGGCGGGCAGCTGCTCCGGCGTGGCGGCCCGCGCCCTGAGCGCCCGCAGCCTGAGGCATGAGGCAGAGCGCGACTTCGACCGCGCGGATCTGCAAGAGTTGGAGCGAGAGGTCCTTCAGGTGGGCGAGATGATCAACGAAATGGAAATGAAGGTCAACGTGCCCCGCTGGACAGTGCAGGCCCGGCAAACCGCTGGCGCCGAACTCCTGTCCAGTGCCAGCGCCGGCGCCTCCTCAGCCGTGTCGGTACCGGAACGCACGGGGCCCTGCGACCTCAGCAAGGCTCTGGCTGCCACGGTTTTCAGCGCGGTGCTGCTGGCGGCTGTGGCTCTGGCCTTGTGCGTGGCAAAGTTGAGCTGACCCTCACCGGCTGGTCGCTCGCCGCCGCCGCTCCCTTCACGGAAACAAGACTCGAGATGGGCTTGAGTTCTGCGCTGTTAGGGGAGCGGCACTAAAACAGTGTGTGTGTTGTGGGTACCTGCTCATTTCATGCACACCCCTCTGGGGGCACGACATCGCTTTTCACTTGCTGGCCCAGGAGGAGTTAACTTTCCCGGACCGTCAGGGCATTACAGCTAATGTCTGCAGGAGCTTTATTCCCTATTAATAGAAAAAGGCACAGAGTGACCCCAGATTTCGTCGTGTTATTAGGGCATTGTTACACGGGGTCCAAATTTGTTGCCCCACCCTACGAGTGTCCCCCGTTGTCTGTCTACTGTGACAGTTTGCAAGTGGGTGAGGTGGGAGGAAACCTGGAGGGCACGGTGGTTTTGCTCTCTATGGGTAGTTTTGTTGTTTTTTTTTTTTTTTTTTCCTGGATAAGAAACAAATTGCAATAAGACAAGCAGTTTTTATTACCTTAATCCTGTGGGGCCTATGCTTAGAAGAGTGTGCAGATAGAAGTGCATAGCCTACAAAGTGCTTTCCGAGTGGTGCACTGTTGTGCTCTTGGCAGAGTTTATGCATTAGTCACCAAAAGCTGCTATAGAGAGGTTTGGGGTTGGGACCTCCCACTGCTCTGCAGGGTCTGACCCTATTTAGGAAACCAAAGAAGACGGTTGAACCACCGTGGCAGGATTATATCCGCTGCACACTCTTGGCCTGCAGAAAAGGACCCTCCTTAGCCCACCCAGGATGGGGGAAAGAGGGGTCAGGAGGCTTTGGGGAGAGCCACATGCTATAGGAACAGGCACTTTCTCCTTCGCAAGGGCTTATTTTCATTCCACAACTAGACCAGACTGTTTGATCCTCCTTTGAGGGAGGGCTGGGGAATCCTCTTTGGAGTACTTAATCCTATCTACCCCAGAATTTGCTTGCTGGCCAATAGGAGAGCTGGCTTTGGAGGGAGCTGCGTAGCTCCCTGACCCCTACCCTGCCCAAAGAGGGTAATGTGGCATTACTGGCCTACAGAGGGTTTTGGCCAATCAGCTCCGAGACTGAGTTAGAATTTGTAACAGTTTTAAATTGGAATTTAAGAAGCTTTTTTAGAAAATAATAATCATCAGAAAGAAAAAATCACATCATGTACCGTTGAAGCCATTTTTTTAAAAAATAAAGGACATTGGGCCACAAATTCATATGTGCCAATGAGCCAAGTATAAAACTTAGGTTACTGAATATACATCTGCATCTGTTTTAAAAATCTATATTCTTAAATATAGATTGAATTTTGAGGTTGTAGCATAAACTGCTGGTGTGGATGACAGAAGTAAGCGGCCCTGATCAATAAATAAGGAATTGTGGAAAACACTGTTGGTCCCATTTGCCTGAGCAGTACTGCCAGCTTCCCCCTGGAGTCCAGAGAGGGGTCTGTCATATTCCTGGGGGAAGAGAGGCTAAGAAAATTGGTGTACAAAACTTTAAAGGTAATCTAAACAAAAGAGACTTTGCCGGGCACGGTGGCGCATGCCTATAATCTCAGCACTCGGGAGGCTGAGGCAGGAGGATCATTGTGAGTTCGAGGCCAGCCTGGGCTACAAATTGAGCTCAAGGCCAACCTGAACTGCATAGGGAGAGCCTGTCTCAAAAAGGCCAAAAAAAAAAGAACAAAAGAGACCTTGATTTGGCTGATTTTTTGATGAGGGACCTTTTTTTTCTTTTTTATCCTAGAGATGGGGGTAATTTTTCACAAGGGCACCTTGGAAAGCCAAGGGCCAGAAGTAAATACTGTAGGGTTGCTGTCTGCACACCCCAGTCCTAGAGGCCACTTTCTTTGCCCATTCCCACTCCTCTTCAGCTTACAGATTCCAGAGCCTCAGATAGGGAAACACGGGATCTGTTTGCGTGCGTCTGGGATCATGCTTTTTCAAAGCCCACCATGGGGCTTGGGTGTGGCTCAGTGATAAAGTGCTTGCCTACCCTACCCAACGCCCTAGGTTCAATCCCTCTTCATTGTACAAAGGTAAACAAGATCTACAAGATCATAAGCCGATCAAATGGAGATTGTCTCAAAGAATACCAAAGGGATGGGAATGCAGCTCTGAGGGGTCAACTCCTCATGCCATAAAAAGAGGAAGACAAAACCCTTGTACAACAGTGACTAATAAGACAAGCTTCTTCTGCCTCACCCAGTCCGGGTGAGTCTACTTAAGGACCACACTCTATTTTCTTGCACTTGCCTGCCCAGGATGTCTTTGGAGATGACACAGGAAGACTTTAAACTCCGCTTCCCACACACAGCAGGGAGTCTCTGACACCTTCTCCAAAGTCTCCTCTCTCTCAGGCAAGAGAAGAATGGGGCATTTTATGACCCTGTGTTGGAAAATATCCTGAAAACCAAGCTCCAAATGTACTTCTAAGATTACTGTTCCTAAGATTTCAATCTTCTGTTCTTTTGGATTCATGAGAAAAAAATGTTCAGCACAGCCTATTTAAAAAAAAAAAAAAAAACTCTCAGATAATCCACTGAGAGCAAACAGGACAAACATGCTTTCTTGTTGCTCCTTCCAGCTACTTGGCAGTTCTAGAGTTTTTAATTCTATGTGCAATCAGATGTGTATCTGATTCTGAGGCTTCTTTGCCCACGGAAATTAATAATAACGTGTTGCAAGAAGAAAAGGTTAATTACAGTAAATTTACTCACCTGTGGACCTGTTAACCTATATAATTCTGAGTTTGAAAATTTTAAGCATTAGGAATATTTGACATTCTCTGAAGTTATAACATCATCTAATCAAACTTCTCCATGACACAAGCAAAATCACTTTCTGCCTTGTGCCGTAGGCCGCTCTCTAACTGGTATCCTTGCTTTTGTTTCTCTATATAATGCAAGAGATTGCTTTCTGATAGAAGCCTAATTCAATTTAAATGTTTGGTAGGGAAGTGATTGATTTTCTATAAATATTTGATATGATCTTATACTGTGATACAAGCGATAGTTAAATATTTTAAATGCATTAGTTGATATTAAAAAGAAGTTGGAATAGCAAGGCACTTATGATAATATTTGTAGGAGAAAAATTCCTGGCTATTTTTATATGTTCTAAAAACCTATGCTTTTAAATGTGACACAAGGGAAAAACATTTTTGCTAAGTAAAAATTAGAGCATAAACTTCATGATTTGCCTACAGTTTATAGTAAGCTACATAAAAGATGTGTGATATTTAATGACTAAAAAAAGATGTGTGATGCTGAATGGCTATCAGGTAGCTCTGACTGAGGAGTTCAGTTTGCATGAGAACCCTGGTAATGCTGCTTTTTTTCTTCAGTGTGTACACTGATCCATTTTTAGCTACTTGGTCTTTTCTGAGAATGTGCTTCTCTGTTCTGTAATGCATGCTTTGTAAGGGCACGAGCCCCAGAGTGTGAGCCTGTGTGTCAGCCTGAGAAATGAAATGTTGTAGAACTCATCTCTGTGTTCCTCTGAGGTGTGCCTCTTTCCTCAGGGCACAGCCACCTGTGATGGGCAGGGGACTCTGCCTCTTTCCAGGTACCTCAACAAGACAATGACCTCCCTGTGCCTCGAATCCTTCATTTGTGAATTGAGATTTCACAAAGGACTGATTCACTCTAACATCCCTAGAGCTTAAAATGTTTAACAGAATGTAGTTAAGCAGGAAGGGTTATATTGTTGATTGGTTAGGTGTGGGGTTTATTGCCTGTTGGTTTGGGTCCATACAGGAATGAAATCATATAGCTTAGTGGTTATTGTCTAAAATTAGTTTTTAAAAGATTACATTAAATTCTATACTAATTTTTAAGAATTAGAACTAACAAGGCTTACTGTGATTCTTTTTCACACATCAGAATTAGGAAATGGACTTCAAAAAGCAAATGTGGGCCAGATGTGGTAGCACATGTCTATTATCCCAAAACTCAGGAAGCTGAAGCAGGAGGATCCTGAGTTCAAGGCCAACCTGGTCTATAGCAAGGGCCTATCTCAAAAAACAATCACAACAACAAAAGCAAATGTGGGGCTGGGGTTATGGGTTGTTGGTAGAGAGCTTGCATAGCATGTGTAAGGGGCTGGCACCACAAAGAAAAAAATAGTAAATGTGTACATTTGCTACTTATTTATAGCATTTAAATTAGATAAAGAATTTAAATTCAGACTCTTACATCTGAGTCCAAGAAAACCCAGTTATTTACTTAAATGGTCTGTGTGGCCTGGTAATCAGGCCTCCTGAACAGATTCTGGGAAATTCTAGATATAAACCCCTGTTATTTGTCACACAGGCTAGAGAAATGGTACTCTGTAAGTTGGTAGCCTCAGAACTCTAATTGCATTGGCAGCAGCAGGGGTTGCTTCTGTTTGTAGTGTCAGATATACAGTGGGATTACAGGCCGCATGTCCACTCTTTGACAGCTTATATTGACAGATTCGAGAATTTTTGTTAATAAGTAAAAATTTTAAAGATAATGCGGCACATGTTTAGCTTAGTGGAAAGGGCACCCTCAGGTGATTCAGATATCCACTTGTGATCTTCAAATAATATCCTTAATTTTCCTCACATATATTTGAATAAGAGTGAACATCCTGTTCAACAAATTTATCCTTTACAGATTGTATAACATGAAGAGATGTTCACAAACACTTCCAGATCATAAAGCTCCAGGTACTTTTCTACAATACGATTACACTCAGCTTTTAATGCAGGAAGGATTCTGGGAGGAATAGATCTCTGGCTGTGGTCATGACAAGTCAAAGTCATATTTCAAATACTGTTTCTTCTGACTCTCAGGAACTGGACAGAGGTAGAAGCCATCGTCCCTTGTCCATGAGAATAAAATAGATTTCTCATTTATTTATTTTTCATCTCATTACATAGAGCAGTGGTGGCAAACCTAAGATGCCTGTGCCACAGCAAACAGGCAGAATCTGCTCTGCGATGACATTACAAGTTGTATGAGTTGTTTTTTCTAAACTAAAACCACAGTATTCAGGTTTAATAGCAGTGTTGGAAGTTTGCAATAAATAAATGGATTTGGGGTTGCAGCTTGGACACTCAATCTCTAAAAGGTTTACCTTCACTACCATAGAGGATCTTAGTGTTTTCACTACAGTACTATCCTCACTCTCTGTTTAGGCTGAGAATTTACAAACCAGAGGACGGGGGACGTCCTAAGTGGTACAGCTCTGACTGAGTGGTAGAGCTCTTGACTAGCATGCATGAGGCCCTGGGTTCAATCCCCAGCACTGTGAAACAAAAACCTTAAGGCTTATATGACCTATGTAAATAAACTAAGAGTGCTCCTGTTGTCAAATGTTTTTTTTTTTAAAAGAGTCATTTTAATATTCTGGTGCCGGAAAACAAAGTTGAGTGTCCCCTGCTTATATGTATGTTTTAGGTATGTGGAGAAGATTTATAAGGAAATATAGAGAAATGAAAATATTTGTTAAAGTGGTGGGATTATGAATGGTGTTTTTCCAATATTTTTATTTCATGTCATTATACTGTTTTTACAATAAAATTTTGAATGCTCTTATCATCTAGAAAGTGTTAGTTATTAAAATTTTAGCAGGGGATGGTAGCATACACATTTAATGCCAGCACTCTGGAAAGCTGAGGCAGAAGGATCACAACTCAGCCTAGGAAACTTAGGAGCTTAGTGAGGCCCTGTCTCAAACTGAAAAATAAAGTAGAATAAAATAAAATAAAACAAAATAAAGGACTGGAGATGTACCTCAGTATAAAGGTAGCATTCCCAGTAGCATAGAAGAAGTATACTTTTTTTTTACAGAAGTATATTTCCCAGTAGCATAGAAGAAGTACATTTTTTTACAGAAGTATATTTTAGCAATTTGAATATCAAATATAATTGCAGAAACTTCTCCCCAAAAGCAAAGAAAAATCTTTTAAAATATTACTGAAGAAATCAGAAGCATATTTTACAATGTGCAGCCACTGTTATTATTTAACATACTATGTTAAAAGTCCTAAAAACTGAATGGCAATGATGCAGTTCATGACATAGTCGGGGGCCACCATAGAGAGACGGGGAAACAGGCAGAATCCTGGACCCTGACCTGCTGTTCATTAAAAGCATGATTTGTGTTTTCTTCTTGGACAGTCATGACTTGAAGGCCATTTTTACTATGAACTGAGACAAGAGCTAAGATTCTATTAGACAGTAAAGACAGCAGCTCCAAAATTGAGTCAGAAAGTCCAAAGTGAAATCTGTTGGGTCACCACACTCCAGAGATCTTACAAAAACATCTGTCAGGTATCCTATACTGTCATGGAGCTCCCAGACCATGATCAGACAGGCCACTGGCTCAAGGGCACATGGGCCATTTTCAGGAATAACATTAACACTGTATAGATCAGACCCCGAAAAATGTGTAGTCTCCTATAGGATAGAGATCATACTGCTTACGCAGTGGCCCAATCTCCCTTCTAAACCTCTTAAAAACTCATAGATAAAGAGCCATCAAGGGTATTTTATTCAGGACTCCCATTGGGTTAGCAGGAGCTCTACTTC